TGAAATGACTTGTGGTGGAACTGGCCAGCTACCAGTGCTAGTCTGGTAATATCATGATGCCTAGCAGCTACAGTACATTTGAGTGGCTTATCTTGCTAGTTGGAGAAGTGGTACTTGGTTACCTTAAGTAAAGCCAATCAATTTCTATTGTTTTGCATATCATAGTGGATCGTTAAAACACCAGCCAGCATTTTTTTTTGCCCTGGTGCCACATTGGGAAGATTCCTGCTTCTAATCTTAAGTGACAGGAAAGCTCAAAAGTTATAGGGAATATTAGAGAGTTACACCTAAACAGGTGACGATACACATTTTTCCTGCTCCGGTGACAATTGTCAAATTTTGGATTCCACTCCCAACTTCTGTCCCTGTGACAATAGTCACCATGACAAATAAAACAGGTGAATCTTTCCAGTGGGTACTCGAGGAAACAATAAACACCTAAGAGGGATTTAAACTATCCCCTACTGCATCCAAAACTAAAATAAATGTTTTTTTATGTTTTAAATACATTAAGGGCAATTGTGGACCACTGCCTCAGGCAGCAAAAAACGGTCCAAAAGCAAAGCACAAAATCTCAGCAACTGCAGCATCTATTTTTTTCTTTTATTTGGGCTTGTCTACCATTTCATGGAAATGTGTTGGTTAATTCAACAGCAAAACTGAACGGATAGAGTGGCTAGTAAAGGGACTGTAAAGTGAAGTAAAACACTCTCTGTTGCTGAGATTAATGTATATGAAAACTTCCAAAAGAAAATTATGTTTTTCTGAATATGGCATAACATGTTTCATGTAGAGCACTGTTTCATGTAACAGCACTTTCTGCTGCAGGCTGACAAAGCTAAGCCACTGTCTTGCAATTATCAGCAGCATTGTCAGTCTGCCTTGTAGGTTCCTTCAGTTGGATGTTGGGATGCCTATTGGATAGACCTGTGAGAAAGACCAATGGCCAACAGAAGGAGCTTACATGGTAGGCTGACAACACTGTTACTAATTGGCTAAGCATTGTCAGCCTGCAACAGGAAGTGCTGTTACTGGCAGGATCCAGGTAAAAGATTGCAACAGAATAACAATAAATTATTATTATTAGTGAAGAATGATACCAAACATACTAATAATAGATTTTGGGTATACATATACTGTAACATGCAGCTATGCTATTTATTAAATGCATACTCTTCACTGGCAGACTTTTCAAGTCATTAGAATAATGGCAATGTGGTAAAATAATTGTGTAAATTACTAACAAAGGCTATGAGCTTGTGTGAAAAGGCTATTTTATATCAGGCTATATTATTTAGCGTTTTCTGTAAACACAGCCCAGGCATGACAGTAACTGCTGGTAGATGTTTGGAAATACATTTTAGTTTTTGCAGCTGAAAGGCCAGTGGGATTTAGAAATCTACAATATCAAATCTGAAGGCTGAAGGATCTGACTGTTTGTAAATTTTGATTTACTTATACAGGTTTTATACACTGATTTTATCTGTACAGCATTAGGACTGATAAAGTGCTGACGCAAAAGATGTAAGTGCAGGGTTGGCTATATGCTGTTTCTAATATGTGCAATGAAATTAGCTGGAAAGAGAGCTGTGTAATTAAAATAGAAAATGAGTCATTTATGGCATGCATAATCATTTTCAAACTCATATTACAATAAGTTGTAATTATATAACTCTTGGTTTGAAGAAATCGTGTACAATAATTATATACAGACAAGCATGGGATTTAATTAGTGAGTCATTTACAAAGCTGAAATGGCAATACTAAGTTACAAATAAGGGTGACAAACATTTATTTTAAAGACATCTACCGAGCAACACCAGATGATAAAGACTGAAAATGTCATAACATGTACTGCGTTGCCCATAGCAACTAGTCGGCTGTGGAACAAGCACATCACTCGAACATTATTCCATAGCCAGATATTTTATGAAACCTTTCTACAGCATAGCCGGCCCATGAGGCAATGGAATGTTGCAGAATTTGGGCACAATATGTGAGATTTTGCTATATGTGAATAATGTCATCTAATGTATAATAAAGGCCCGGGATAATAACGTTGTATTTAGCAAACTTCATTTTTGTACATCAATTAAAAAAGTACAATTAGCATTAATTAATACTGGAATGTAGCTGTGCAATGTGCCATGAGCAAGTTCATTGCTAGGATGCCTTCATTAAAGTCAAAATGTTTGAGTGGTATAAAATGAATTGCTGGTGTTTGAAATAAGAATTATGTTATATGACTATAAAGTTTGAAATCCCCCTATATTAATTCCTTTTCTTGATTTTCAGTAAACTGAGAAATCCAAAATGCTTGCTTTAGTTGTTTTATGAAAGTAGTATTAAACTCTTAAACTTTTTCCTATAATGAATTCAGTTCAAACAAATATACATTGTCCAATAAAGTATTTATCTTTATTTTCGCCCAAATGCTTAAGCTGTCCACACTGTAATATTTTCTTTGCTCAACCTGCGAGCAGAATAAAGAAAATATTACAGATTCCTGCATTAACGCTTACGAGCGTCGATCGTGGACTCTCACACTGTCTCCAATGTATTGTTACAGTAGCAGATGGCCGCTGTCAGAATATCCAGCCAAAGCCAGCAGCTCAATGGCTGCCAGCTCTGTTCCTTCAAGGATTTTCTGACCAGCTCCTTTGATCAGCTGATCGAGGGATGCTGGCTGTAAGGGTGCTAACAGCAGCACCCATCGCGAATTCTGGTCAGTTCATCAATGAATTTACCTAGTGTATGGCCACCTTCACAGTCATCATGTTTCCGGATAGCTGGCTCCAACTCTCTCAGCCCTGCTGCCCTAAACTTTCTGTTGAGCGCAAGATCACAAAGGACAAAGCAGTATCCAGTAGCTGTCCATCAACTAGCTTGCAGAAGTAAGGAGGAATAAGGGAGGAGCAGGGAACATGGCGTGGGGATTGATGTGTCTGTACATTTGTGGAGACACAGAACAGCTTAATAGCACACACAAGGGTGGCTCCATAGGACCCTGCTAGGGAAAGGAGTCATGCTAAAACAGGATACCAGGAACAATACTCAGGGGACCAGCTGATTCTGCAGTAAACCAACACTTTTAAACATAAAGACGCAGCATCCATTGTAAGTGATTCAATCAGCATTTGAAATAGCTTAAAAGCATTTGGCTTTTTAAATTACTTTAAAGCTACCTCTAGGTTTAGTGCCATTAAATCCCTATGCTAATATTGTTTAAACTACTATCTCTTTGGGTATAGAAGCCCATCCTTTCTATAGCTATTGGAGAAGAACTATGTTTCACATGTTTGTCTATGAGTTAGGACAGCAAATGTCTTGATGTACTCACAGCTGCATTCTTTTTGATTTATGTGACCTGTAGTACATGCAACACGAAGATATTAAAAGCCATGAACAACGTTATTGTTCATGTTCCAGCAAGAACATTAACATTCCAACCCATTCCTTCCACTGACATGTTTTGCTTAATCATAAAGAAGTGGGTTTAGAGTATTAGTGTTCTTGCTGGAACAGTAAAGTTGTTTTTAGCCTGAAAGAGAGCATACCGTGGCCGCGCATGTGCAATGTGAGTCAGGAGGGAGCTGAGCGAGAGAATGCCAGGGTACCTGCGCCTGTCACTGGTTGGAAGGTCCAGTGAGCTGTACAAACTGTAAGTGAACTAACCAAGATATTAAAGTGTGTCTGGGCAAAATCTGCAGAAATAAACAGTACACACAAAACACATTCTCCCATATGCTTTCTCTTAAAAAAACACTGCAAGAAAAATACCTGTTGATCCTGCGTGAAATTCAGTGAGTTCTGAACTTTGATAGAATGATTAAAACTAGGGTTGCACAGATACTTTTCGAGTACCAGTGCAGATACTTTTTGCAGATACTTTTTGATACTCAAAAGAAGTATACTGATACTTCTTTTGAGCTCCAAGACTAGACTCTAGTCTAGTCTTGGAGCTCAAAAGTATCGGTACATGTACTCGTACTTGTACCGAGTACTGTACTTGGTATCTGTGCAACACTAATTAAAACAGTGACTCTGCAGTGTAGTCAGCCCTGCACAGTTCTCCTATGATGGACTGCAGAACACCACCCTCCTTATGGCGATAAGGAGAGGGGGAAGTGTTGCGGGATCCAGCAGTGGCAGTGTTGCTATTTCACTACAGATAGGTTATGAGTTTAGTGCATTTCGGGCAGGATCAACAGGTATTTTCCTTTACTTGTAGCATTTTAATAAAGACAAAACATAGTGAAATGTACATGTCTTGAAGAAATGAAAATTATATGTTTTCTTTATTTTGCTCAGACAAACCTTTTATGCTAATTAGTCGATGTTCTCCTAGATCTTAAATGAAATCTAATCTCCCTCTAGACCCAGATAGACAACCATGCCCTTTGTGCGGGAGGCCAGCACGTACGATTTCTCCTGCAACAAGCATATATTTTAAGTCAAACCTTACCATGACAATCTTGCAACTATATACAATGCCAACTGTTTACCTTTTCTGAGTTTTTGACTTTCTATTAAATAAAGTATTCAATGCATGCAAGATTTTAGTAATCTGTATGTGTGTCTGAGTATTTAATGTGTAATTATCTCACCTTTTGTGCTTCAACTGTAAAGTTCTTGTGCACATTAGACAAAAGTAGGTGTTATATTTTGCAATTTCATAATGAGTCATACTTGCGAGCCTACACATACATTTATGTTAGATGAATTCATAGGAGAGGTATGGCACACATTGGCTAATGAATTACAGTGTTAAATGCATGGACTAATACTTACCTAGATGCATATTGAACATCTGATATATATGCCAATGTTAAGTTTCCATATCTTACATGTAATTATCTATCTATCTATCTATCTATCTATCTATCTATCTATCTATCTAAATTGTATCCTGGTACCCTACTTAAAATAACTGTATACAAAATGCCAAAAAATTATTCCCCACATTTAAGCTCCGACTCCCTCTTTTCTCCCGAATACAGCGGTCGTAATGGTCCTGAACAGTATGAGCGTCAGCTGGAGTGCTCGAATTCAGATTTTCCTGACCTTTTGCAAGCTAGCAGCAATTCTGATAATTATAGTCCCTGGAGTTATGCAGTTAATTAAAGGTAAAGGCTAACATTTTTGTATCAATTATTGCATGTATTATCTTGTGATAAAATCAGCTCTATACTGTAAATGTACATTTTATTTTTAACTTAGTGAAGGCTTTTATGAAAACATTTTTGGCCTTTCTGGTCCTCTTTTACAGTGGAATTGTAAAGGGATTTTGGTGCAGGCAACCCATGGATTAATATAGTAATAATTATCAGGATCCAAGATATGATTGTCCTGTGTGCCGCTTAAAGACCAGTAAAAGATGTGGGGATGGTAGAAAATTTACACTTTAGTTATTAGATATAGTTCACAGAGGCATCCCTAGGCTGGGTGTCACCTGGTGCAGGCATTGGGTGTCACCAGTAAGGATGGGCTGCATGTTCGAGTCGACCATAGGTTCGACTCGAACATTGCATGATCTAGCGTTCGCCGATCCTATGACAGTACCCGGATCCCCATACACTTTTTAAATTTAAATTTCTGAGTTCTACCCCCATAGACTTGCATTGAGTTCTGAGTTCGAGTTAGAACTTTTTTCATGTTCGAAAGTTCGAGTTAGAACCGAACACGGGGGTGTTCGGCTCATCACTAGTCACCAGCTGGAACATCATCATGCACGTATGCAACGTCATTACGCACGTTACTCACATTTGAGACGTCATCAAGCTCATGCATGACGCCTTGGTGCCCGTGTCATGACATCACATGCACTTAACTGCCGGTGGTAAGCTCAATGATGGACACCGGCAGAGAGAGGATGGGATGTTCATCCAGCGCAATAAGATATGCGACCGGGTCCCCTCCTCTCTTGTGTAGATGTCGGGCTCTAGGTCCATGACCGAGTGCCCAACTTTTCAGAGGGAGAGACATCAAAATGACTGCCAGTCATTTTGGTGTCACGCCCTCTGATGGTGTCACCCGGTGTGGGCCACACCCCTTGCACCCCCCCTTGTGATGCCACTGATTGTTCATGCCATCTAAAATACCGAAGACCTATGAAAGATACATGTTTCTAGCTTGCACATCTTCTGGGCATATGGAGCAAGCACCACATATAGGGCTAGTTTACTAAAAGGAGGTGTACATAAAAGAAGGGAGCATAACACAAAGAGCCAATCGTGGGCAGGGGAATTTATAAATGTATAGCTTCAAATAATAATGATTTGATACCAGAGGTGCATTTTACTCAAGTTCACACTTGTAAAACCTCAATGAACATATTGCTACTGAAATTTTCCAATTCATCTATACATGCATTTCCCACTGCACACATGAGTTCCATTCTCCAATGCTTATGTGAGTGGTGAGTCCTGTAGTGATTTAAAGGTTGGAGAAAGGAAAAAATGTGCATTGTGGGGGGAGGGGGGGGGGCATTTATTTGGCAGTCTTTGAAGTGTTGAAAGGAGTCTGGTGGAGGATGGATGGATAGAGATCTGATGGAGGATATGTATTGTTTTTTGCAACTAATAGGATCACTTAAAAAAGTGTGTTCATTGCTGTGCCCCCTGTAACTAGAAAACTAATAAAAGTTGGTAGTGAAATCTCCCCAACAGAAACAAACAGTAACACAGCAAGCAAAATATCTTGCATAAATTCTAACTTTTGAGTATAGGGATGTATACTAGGTCTTCTATTTCAGTAAACTAGCATTTAGCTTTTTGTGTTTTTGTGACTGACTGGGTCACTTTAAAGTGTGTGTCCAGCCAAAACATTTTTTTCCATAGAGTGGTGAAAGGTAGTACCGCTATTAGGTTTTTCCCTTCTATGTCGGACAGGAAGTAAGGGTAAATCTCTCTAATGGACCTCCCTATATTAGGAAAACCGGACAGGGGTTTAAATCCTTCTCTAGTTTAACCAAAACTGGAAGAAAAGTTTTTGGCTTGACAATCAAGTAAAGTGGAAACTGGTTTAAATCTATTAAGGTTTTAATACTGTTTGTGCCCTTAATAGGCAGAGTTCCTACCACTTGTTGTCTTTGTGATGGGTATTGCCTAGAACATTAAAAGAAACTGACAGTTTCTTTTTTTTTTCATATTCAATTTTTATTATTATTTAAAAAAAAATCACTTTAACATATAATCGTTCTACATCAGGGTACATCTAAACAGTTCATATCCTACATTAAGTGTCGTCCGTCGGGCAGTCCTCACTCCCGCCCGGTCGTATTGCTGGCCTGCGGAGTGTTACTGTCCGTCGCCTCCCTCATACAGCAGCTGTTACCCTAGTATCAATGGAAGATATACACTAAGAAAAAGAAAATAGAGAATAGAAAGGAATGTATTTTCTTCGTGTAGGCTGTTCTCTCCCATGTCATGTAGGTTTCCGGGTGATCTTATGTAGGCAATCCATGGTTGCCAGGTGGATTCGTATTTTTTTTAATTATCTCTCCGGATAGACGTCAGTTCTTCCATCAGTCTGTAGTATTCTACTCTACTGTGCCATTCGCTTATAGTTGGAGTATTAGTTTGGTTCCAATGAAGTGGGATTAAGGTCTTCGCGGCATTCAATAGTGGTACTACCAATGATCTTTTATAGGCCCTAATCGACAGGTCCGTAAGGTGGAAAAGGCAGACCATTGGATCTAGAGGTAATGTGGCCTTGGTAATCTTCTCTATTTGAGCTATTACCTGGGTCCAGTAAGTTTGTATTTTGGGGCGTTCTGGTGTATAATACCACCGTGCCATAAAGCGGAAAGTAGTGTCGGTCACTTGAGTGCTAATGGATGTAGTAGCATTGAGACTTAACAATTGTTGTTTCTGTGCATCCGTCCAGGTAGTCTCCAAGTCCTGTTCCCATTGGTTTAGATATAATGGGTAAGGACTAAGTTGATCCTTTATTAAAATCTTATAAATTTGTGATATTCCATGACGTGGTGATTCTGATGCAAAAAATAATTTTTCCAAAGGTGTAAGCTGCGAGGTAGTGCGAAAAGGCTTTGGTAGTGATGAAATAAAATGTGATAGTTGCCTATGTCTCCACGTGTCAAATGGGTACATCCCCCATTGTTCTCTAAGAGATTCTAATGAAAGTGGTCTGTCTCCATCGCATATTTGATATAACTTTAAAGTCTCGTGTGTCATCCATTTAAGGAAGCCCGTGTTGTGAAGTCCCGGTGGGAAGTACAAATTGCCAGTTACTGACATTATTGGTGAATTGTATTGGCCTATCAATCGGGTATATAGTGAATTCCAAATAGCCATAGTTTGACGGGTGAGGGCAGATGTGAGAAAATGTTAATTCCAGTGTTCCTGTGGTATCCAACAATTAGTGGGTATATCTTGATCGGATAAGGTATTTTCCACCTCTACCCATTGTTTAGTCTTAGTGCAAAAGTGAGTATCCAACATCCTGTTAAGTGCAACAGCCTGGTAATAACAATTGAAATCTGGCAATGCTAACCCTCCCTGCTCTCGGGTCCTAATAAGGACTCCATAAGAAATCCTGACGGGAGACCGTCTCCAAATGTACCGACTGACAACCGACTTAAGTGCACGTAAATAAAATTTTGGTAGTACAATTGGTACAGTTTGTAGTATATACAATATCCGTGGGAGTATTATCATCTTAATGACATTTATCCGTCCCGTGAGGGAAATGCCTACTCGGTAATTGTGCCATTTGTTGAGGTCCCTATTTATACTATTTAACAAAGGCATATAATTTGCGCTGAATAATTCTGTGGTTCTAGCTGTTAATTCTATACCCAAATATCGCATTTTTTGACTATGCCAATTAAAGGGCATCGATTCTTTTAGAGCGGTTACAATATGGCCCAGAGTAGAGATATTTAATATCTCAGATTTCGAAAGATTAATTTTAAAATTCGATATTTGGTTGAAAGTTTCAAATTCCCGTAGTAATGATGACTGACATTTTCTAATCCTTTCTTGCATAGAAAAAACGTGAGTTAATCAGCTTTATAACTTGCATTAATGAAGAAAACTACATCTGCGGTCAACATAGAGCTCAGTTAACTCTGCTTGCCAAATTGTATAAACTCACTGAAAAACACCAGTGTATACGAACATTCACGTTGCTTGCTACCTATAACTGTAACATTCTCCATAAGTCACACTGAATTCTGAAATAAGTATTTCCCTTCATGTGTGTGTTTTTGATGAGTTTCCTTTTAACAAATTTGTGGAAAGTTGTTACCTGGTTAGATGCATCTGCACAGTAGTAGTTAAGAGCTCAAAAAAACCCTATGGGCTTCACTGGCTACCACTATCATAATAGGTGCCATGTAAGCTGAAACAAATATAAGCCAGCAAGAAATGACCGAGGACAGCATTAAGCAGATTTAGAATTATAAATATAAAATGCATGAATACAAAATGTGATAAAAAAAGTTTCTCACAGATGTTATTACTGTAGACATCTGTGTGCCTGAGCAACATGTGTAAATGTCAAAGGAAAACACGTACAACACTGTGTTAATGAGTGTTAGAAATTCTTGGCAGTATTTCGCTATTTGATAATATATGAGTCTGATACATTACAATGAAAAATAGCCCAGCCTTGGCAAGGTTAGTGACATGCTTGGGAGCCTACAGATGTATCCCTTGCCACTGTTATATACTTTCTGATTAAATTTTGTTTAACTAGAAACCAGAATTTAAAGACATTTGAAAATAAATGGAATGACCATAGCTTGCACATAAAGCCACGATAATAGTTATATAGTGGATAAGGTTAATACTTACTTTTTTATGAAACTAACACTAACAAACACTGCAATATCAGGAAAGACATCTGCTATACCTTCGATATAATCCCAGCTCATCATTTATTCAAACATATGTTTTAAAAAAATGCAGTCCCCACTATTATTACAGTATCATTGCATTGGTATTGGTATGGCTATTTCTTCCGCTGCTGGTTTTCCCATAGGTGCTACTGGCTTAGCCTGTGAACTCCCTGCGGTAGTATTAGTAAAGAAGGAAGTTAGAAACAATCTTATATCTGAATATTCAGACGTAAACAAGCTTTCCTTCCCTCCTATTTTACTGCCCAAAGATTTAGCTAGCAGTTACTGGTTCCAATATAATAATCACTAAATAATTTGCTCAAATCTGCGTGATTGTTCTCAGTCACCAAAACAGCAGAAGCCAGAGGTAGGAGTGGAAGCATCAGACTTTGATAAGCTCTACTACTTCAGTTTTCAGCACTGACAGTACAGGGAAAGCAGATGCATCTGTCTATTTCTCACTATGTATGCATAAATCAGACATACTGTATATACACAGCAGGTATACACTCATGGAGTTCACTGCTTGATCAGATGATCGGGCTAGCGTAAGAGCCAAAGGGAGGTTCACTTTTGCCCATATGTTTATAAAGGCTCTTTTGCTTGTGTTACAAGCAGCAACATTAGTTTTACCAATTATTTGTTGTAGGAGAAATATTCTATTATCAGATAGCAGATAAGCTTAGTGCACACTGAGACTGAGAAGAGCGATATAAAGCAGAAAAGACCACCAGTTTTCTATTTAAGGTTGCCAGACTCCACAGTTAAAGTGGTTCACCCTTTATTGTCTGTGTTCAGTACACAAACAATACTTTTGAATGTTGCTATCTGTTTTTTATGAGAAGATGTTGGTGGATCGAGACATTTATTTATAACAAAGATTTGTCCTAGGGTGTATAGACAAAACTTAGTTTAGAAAACAAAATATTATTTAAAATGGAATGTATAGTGCTTTTTTAATTATTTTGTCTATCATTTGATCTATTGTGCTCTGGAAGGACTAAAAATTTGATTCTTAAAAAATTATTTTATTTTTATTTTAACGTGACACTAAACTCAAGAGTTAAATCTTAAAAATGCATTCAAGCACCTAAACTATTAACAAAACTGCATCTTTTTGTGTATCACTGAGCTGTAGATCCTCAAATCATCTCTGATTTTGTGCTGAAGTAGCCACCCTCCTTCCTCCTGAAGGGTGGCTACTTTACAACACACACAGGGACCATGGGGAACAAAAGTATTCACCCTCTTAGATTGCCACTTTAAATGTCAGACAACAGATAGAGGTCGAGGATTTTTCCAAATGTTTTCAGGTTATCCTCACTTGTTGTTTACTGAGCTATTTCACATATACAGTTGAAATTGACAGATGAATGACTCACCTTGCCTGCTGTGTTCAAGGCTTTGACTCCATACAGACTTCCAATACCAAAGCAAGAGTCATATCAAGTTTATATCAGTTTAAAAACTTAAGCAAAAATCATAAAATGTAACCAAAATTACATTTGTTTTTCTTTGAAGTGTAAATATGGCCAAAATAAAACGGCATATATGATGTAGTCTTTTACTAACATTCACATTGCAGGTTTTGTTTTTCTGAGTCCCTTCATAACATAGTTTTATTACCCGTTAATCCTTCCAGCAGATCAAATAATTTACCATTTCCTGTAATAGAATGCCAGTGCTGTTTGTTCTGCAATTAAAGTGTGCAGCAGTGAGACTGGGTAGTCTTATTTGTACATACAATTTTATTTATTTAAAAAAAAAAAGGTTTATACCATATAAACAAAATATGATTATTGTTAATACCTTTGCCACTGTTATATGGAATGATCCAACCTCTGTAACTGAACCCTTTGGCCGTTCAAGGAAATGGAAAAAATGTATCTAGTGGCAGGATTAACATATAATAAAAATATGTTACTGTTGCTGTGCTAATGCATTATATATATATATGTGCAATTTTTTATTTTGGCTATAGTTATAGTTTGAAGGAAATTGATTGTAAGGATCACAAATAATCCATATGTTATTTTAAAAAACTTGCACTTTCCATGAGCTATAAGGGATATTTTTCTTTTACTTTCTGCAGGCAGGCAGATACAAATGTCTGGCGTTAAGTGTAGTACTAAAGGTTGTCCTCTAGGGGGAACTGCTGAGAGGCCTGGAGACTTGGAGCAACAAGCCCAGCTGACGGTAGCTGTTTTGTTAGGGCCTCTACAAAAACTTCCAGCCCCCTAAGAAAGCAGCCCCACCCTGGAACCAGTCTGTATGTCTGGCAGACTGGGAAGCAGTTCATCTGTGTGGTGAAAAGCAGCATGTGTGGCCAAAGACAAGCCTTTGTGGCAATCCACCTGTGTGGCGAAAAGACAAGCCTGTGTGGCGAAAAGACAAGCCTTTGTGGCAAGCTCTTTACATACAGCCTGTGTGGTCAGTAGTTTTGAATAAAGCAACCACCTGAAGTGATTGAGACTTGAAAATGTTTTTTTAATGACAGAAAGAACTGTACTTTATGTTTGAAAACCCCTTTGAGGGTACACCTATGTGGACTTTTCTTTTGAGTTAATAAAAGTGGGCAAAGAAGCCCTTTAAAAAGTGGAAAGCAAGTGGGTGCGTCCTTAATGTGCTACCGTTAATTATAGCGCTGATCAGTCAACACCTGTTTGTCCATGTGAGGCTTGGTTAAAAGAACAAATAATGCACACTTGGCACCCTACCTAGAGACAGCAAATAACAAAGAAAAAAAATTACATTTGTATAGTCCTGCATTTAAATGTGCATAGTCCAAAATTAAATGTATATGCAAGTAATTTCTTGTTTAACGTTGTCAGTTGGTTAAATAATTCCACATGGAATTTTAAATAAAAAATTCCATGCAACTAGTAAAATCTACTGAGAAAACTTTTAAGTTATATTTGAATCTGATTGGAGGTTGGGAGAAACTTCTTAGTGCTTTATAAAGAAGAGCTAATAAATATAAATCAAACCACAAAATCAACAACATGACTTATTAGGTGTTTTAAGGGCATTTTGTGTATGTTTTATGCTGTTATTGTCATTGTAGTAACATTTTAGGAAAATCAGGGAGGCATATAATCCTAGAATCCTCATTCATGTCCTCCTTTGTACCTTCATACTTTTCATTCCCCTGATGAGATCCTATCCTGACCACCAAAACATTATCATCTTTGTCACCACTTTCAGGACTTTAAGGCTTGTATCTGTCCTGTCATCTGTCTGTGTCACCATAAGCAAAGCTCTAATATGATTTACCTTGATTAGATGAACCTGTTTGTCCAGGTGCATTTTTCCCACACACCAGCATTCCAACACAAAATTTGTACAAGATTACAGACATGACGTCTAACAACTTTCTTTGTATTGGGTCAGTAACTGGTGAAGAACATGTCAGGATTGTCAAGTCTTCTCTGAAAACAAAAGCATGTATTTGACAGATTGAGCAGATATTATTCATAGTTACATACCTGTTTGGCACATTTTCCTTGATATTGCTTGAGGTACATTTATATATACTAAATCGTACACTTCTTATACACAGATAGATGGAATGTGAAACAATAGATGGACATTTCTCAGTATACTACTTGACAGGCACATCTCTATAATTGACCCATACCATACTTTAAACATAAAACACTTCCATGTAAACTGTAATGAATGACAAACTTGATTATTGTATGTCAATAAAAACTTGTCTTTTTCAGGAAAGACTCAGAATTTCAAAGATGCCTTTGTTGGAAAAGATGTCAGTGTTATGGGGCTACCCTTGGCTTTTTATTCTGGAATGTATGCCTATGCTGGTTGGTAAGTAGTAGTACCTTAACCATCATGTTTATCATTTTGAAAAAATAAAGTTTACCTGGCTGTTTCTGTTTTGAATGAGATTTTAGGAAACCAATGTTTTTCTTGCTGTAGTGGAGGTCATCAGAAACCTTCCCTTACACAACAACCATTTACATGTATATTTGAACTTGTTTGGTGGACAAGAAGGGTCAGAATCAAAATCCAATTTTTCGAAGGCTCCACAACTGTTTGTAACGATTCTACCTTTAAATGCGATGATCTGATAGAGCTCCCTGAGGGTGTGTTTTATAAACAGGATCTGTATCCTATAACTGCAGCAGTCAAAGTATACAATATGTTTAGAACATTTCTTCATTAGTACACCAATTTCTAAGCAAGGCTATATTTTCAATATGAGGCAAAATCATATGTAAGATTTCAAATGCTATTATCAAATAACACTTTAGTCCACCCTATTCATCTATAATAAGTAGATTTGAAACTACTCAGCAGCACTTCATCACACTCATAACAAATCATGATATATCTATTGTACTGACTTATGTGAAAATGTATCCTGTAGATTATCCATTATCTATTATCTTCGCCTAACATTAATATGATTTGCTATTGAAGAAGACATAGTTCACAGTGGGGCACTAGGCTTGTATAGATGAACCGTACAGCTGCCATTTGTCTCACTTAGCCTTCAAAACCTCATGGAGGGTGTTGTGTGGGATTATCACTAAAGGTAAACCATGGTATGTGATGTATCTATTATATATTGTTAAACCGGCCATGTAGATACATTAAAACCTGTTTGTATTTTACAAATTCATATGCATATTCTGTTTACTAGGCAACAATTAAGCTTCTTCAGAGTTTGATTAAAGGTCCAATATGTATCACGCAAGCAACAATCATGTCAAGCAATTAAAGAGAAGCATATAGAGAGAAAAATAGATACCTGATTATTTAAATTGTTTTTGCTACAAACAGAGTTACAAACAGAAACTTTTCAGGTGTTAAATCTTCTTTTTGTACCATTAAATGCCTACACAAATAAAGCATTGTGTTTCCCTGTAACCAAACAATTTCAGTAGCATCAGGCTTTACAAATGTAAAAATGTCATGAGGTTTTCAGTACATTCACATAGTTATTCATTATTTGGTGTTGGTCAACCAACATAGGCAAATACTGTAAAGAATAGTTATGATTTTAAAGAGGTTCTGACTGCACAACGCTGGAGTGAATGCTTGTGAGATTTGGGATCCTCAGCTAGGTCCGTAACATCATCTTCATCTAGTCAGGGCAGATGTAAGGTAAGTTCCTTTTTAAATTTTTGATAAATGTGTAAAACAGCTTTTTATTTTTTTTACAAAGGTGCTGGGACACTAATGAATACATGGACCTTGTATTTTGATGATATGAAATAGATTTTTGCTTTAAAGAGATACACAATTAAGAAGTGGTCAGGGTCAGGTTTCATTCTGTCACATTGATGAAGGAGGAATTTATGAATCAAGCTGTAACCTTGTAGCAAATCTGTTACACAATCTTTTTCACTGCTCCTGATTATCATTGTTGTGCCACAGAATTAATAAAACGGTGTACAACATGTGTAATGGGATTACACTCATGGGATTTCTTTCGGGACTACTTTTGTCCCTATACAAGTCAATCAGAATGCTCAGAAGGTCAAATGCAGGACAGAAGGAGGTCAGAAGCATCTGTGAAGGAACTCAGAAGCATCACAAACTGATCTCAAATTTTATTTGAATGCACCAGAAAGCATGCTGAGTTTGACCATCTAAACAAGCCATTATACTGTACAACTTTTATTTTTCTTGAACCAATTCTACACTAAATAGGCATACAGTATTGTTTTCTGACATTGCATACAAATTCCACCCTTATGACAACTATATATAATATTAACAATACCTCTCTAAATTGTACACAGTTATATAGACACAATTGTTGAGTTTTATTCCAAACTATTTAGGATGCAAATCTTCTCAGATTCTTTTCTTTATGCTGGCTGCATACTCTTTAAATCAAGTGAACTGATTGTTGGAGCCAGCTATCAAGCTGTCTGCAGTCGTATAATGTAATCTGTCAGCTGCTTAACGCACCGTTTCTTAATAACATAGCAAAATGTAACAAATTTGTTTTCAAATGTGATGGATTTGATGCCACATCCACAGACAACACAAGGGTAACACTTGTTAGAAAAATATCAAGAAGAGGTAAAAATATAAAATCACATCAACATATGTCACTAAACTTAGTTCCTGAACAATTCTGCTGAATTATATGACAAGGATATTGTAAATGGTATGGGGTCACCTAGGCCGATCCAAATCAACCCACTCCTCTATCCCTCAAATAACTGACACCACGCCAAGGAAGAATTTGGTGGCCACAGCAGCCATATATTAAATATAAACCATAAATATAAACAATAAATAACTAAGATTTGGGATCAATGTCTTTTAAAGGTCATCTTGCAAACAAACCAAATAGTATCTCCACCCCAGGCCTCCAGCTGCATGATACCACCTCAGGAACATCACCATCACAGCTGCAAATACAAATAAACCTTAATGTGACCTCTTGTCACAGGGATACCATACCTGTGAAACCCACTTCCTCCTCTAAGCATCTTACAACGTCTCCTCGTTCCATTTGAAACATTCCACTTTTAACATTCACAATTAAATAGTCAGGATTACTTTGAAATAGATCATTCTCTGTTTCTTTTAGATTTTGATTCTTGTAGTTGCTATATAATGCATTACAGGTACAGTGCTGTTTTTTATTTCATGGTTATTCATTGTTCATATTTGATCTATTCTCAGTACAGTCATGACTTTATGACATGAGATCAAATTAAAAACATACTGAGCAAATCACATTGAAAGAACCTCATAAATATAATTGTGTTTTGAGAGAGGAGAAAGCTATGAACAGTGGCTGTCAAGCTGTATGGTGCCCAAGCTGCTGCTCTTTGCCTCCCAGGTTAATGTTCTTATAGATTTAAGCCTTTATGTAGTAAAAATGGTTCATCTACTAGGATGTAAGCAATACATCTCAGGTGGCAGCCTGAGGGAGGTGACATGGCATAGTTTACTCCAATCAAATTGTATTAAATGCATTCCAAACACAAAGCAAATGCAACCTTTCACTTTTATCCCAGCAAACCATTTCATGTATATTCTGCATATGAGAAGGTTGCTGACTTTTGTAGGATCTGAGGAATTCTGTAATAGCCCACATACATGCTGCTGAACTTGCCAGTTTTCAGTTTCACATATTGAGTTAAATACTCCCTCTAGTAAAGTGTGGAGCAGACTCTTTGCTTTACTCCTAATGCTGTGCCTTATTTTTTTATATGTTCTCCTCTTTAGGCTCATATGTAAATGTTATCCTCTTCAAATGCTACATTGTAGTCACGTGCTACCAAAGCTGACACAATACACAGACTACTAGCCTGAATATGTTATAGTGGCTTTTTTGAGAGCAAAATAGTGCTGAATAAAGTGGATGACAATTTAAACTGACTTCTATTATAATGCCAATTTGCATAAAATTAATTTCCTTCAAAGCTTACACAACCTACTACATTTTCTGAGATAATTTTCAAACAGAATACAAAGAATAAAAAAAGGCATCCCACTCCCACTAGCTATAAGGGAGAACCATGAAAAACATGAATTATATAACAATGTAGAATATGCCATTACCCATTTTCAGACGTATTCTGAAAATGGGTAATGGCTTAAGAAATCTCCTGACCTTCTAATTTCCGCAGGCATTTCTTAAATTAGATAATGCTGCTATTTGTTTTATACTGAGTCATCAATGATTTGAAATTAATATGGGTCTTGGGAAAAGTAAAGAACAGTAGCTTTAGCTGAAAATGTAATGCAGAGCCATCTAGTACGCTGATATGATATCGCAGAAACCAAGTGTAAAATTAAATGAGAACCAGCCAAATAGAGAAAAAATTAATGGAAATAAGGAACCAACTATTGAAAAGAGCAGAAAAAGAATTAATAGCAAAAGTTAAAACTTGAACATAATGCATTGAGTAAGAGCAATACATATTATATTGCAAAAACACCTTCTTAAATAAACAACTGTACATGGTTTCTTTTTGGGTGATTTTAATCCACTTTATTATGATTAGTTTAGATTAATTTAAAATATAATGTGCAATGATGTAATGTCCATCAAGCTTATGTGTGTGGATCGCAGCTGCGGAGTGACTCTGTGGATGGCTCAGGTAGAGGGTTCACTGTCGCACTCATTATTGAATGAGTGAGGTCGGAACCCCTAGCACATCATACACCACCACAGGATTGTGAACACAATAGTCGGTAAGATGAGAAGACCAATAGGTCCTCAATTGTCATTCATTGGGGCCGTGTTGGGACTTGTAGTTACACTAGTTAACTTCACTAATGCACGGCAATACAATGATGGTACTGTTAAGTGGTAGGATAACGGTTCAGGTAATCAGGATAGCAGTAATATATATATATAGGGGTAAGTGAGCTGCAGGCATTCAATAGAGTACTGTTACTTCAAGCCAATGGAGGATATGCAATCTTGTATCAGACTGAGAATACAGGTGGTACTTGCGATTTGGTGTAAACAGTCCAGATACCCCGAGCCACTGGTTGTGGAAGCTACACGGCTGTGAATCCTCTGGAGGAGGACAGCAAGGTTCAGGATGGTGGAGGTGAATGCCCTAGCAAGTTGCTTGCCATTCTACCCCGCTAGAACGCTGAGCAAGTGAGCCTTGTTAGCTCTTGTAGGAGAGGCAGGTGTGTGTGGGTGGAGTCATCAGCAGTGGCCCTCCCGACAGTGTCCTAGTAACGGAAATGCTGTGTGAAGGCCGGCCTACTCTGCCTGTCACTTAGACATTGTATGTGTCTTAGAGCGGCGTCTGAGAGTAGAAGCCCTGGGGGGAACGTGACCGGCAGGTACCCTAGCAACCAGACTGTAGGGACAGTGGGGTTGATTTACTGAAGGAGTACTGTAGAGCATGTTCACTTTGCAAAGTGAAGTTTAACTTTGCAAAGTGCAATATCACTAAGCTTATTAAATGAGGTACTGCTTTGCTGACTTTAATCGTCCAATCATGGGAACAGAATTTTTTTTAATTTATCTATCACATTATTGGTTAATCTTTACAAAGGGAATGATTGAACTCATTTACTAAGTTAAGTGAAAATTCAGTTTGCAAAATGAACATGTTCCACTACTTTAGTAAATAAACCCCAATGCCTGTAAGATTAAAATCTGAAATCACCTTTTTGCAGATCTAGAGTTTTCCAATTGGCCTGCTCAATGTGGATAAAGTAATATATCAGCGAAAACTGAATTGTGCTTGTTTCAGATCTGCCCAACATGTTGCCATATCTGGCTAATTTAGTTGAACTGACTAAAATAACCAATTAAAATGCCATAAATGAACCTATATTGAGTTTGACATACTGGACTGATATGAATGAGTTAAGGTTTTTTTTGTTTGTTTTAGGTTCTACCTCAATTTTGTTACTGAAGAAGTAGAAAACCCAGAAAAGTAAGTAAATAGCAAACTACACTAATATTTGAGGAATTTATTTGTTAGGTGGAAACCTGCTCAAATTGTTATTTTACAGTATAGATGGCGTAGGGTGGGTTAGGTTTGATACATGTGTCTTTACAAGTGCCTTGCTCTTTATGTAGATCTTTTACGCTAGGTGTGTACTTTAATAGACATTGAAATATTAAGGTTGCAGCATGGAGCTTGTGGTGTCCGACAAAGTTTTATCTGCTGCAGAGAAAATGTCATGATTGGGGTTGAGGATGGCCACATGGCTTTGACAGGTCACTTTTTTTTTAATTAAAGTTAATTAACTTGAATGGCTCTCTGCTTGCTTTGGAGTCTATAATGCACATTTTAAAGCACAGCTCTGTGCTTTATATATGTGATCTTTTTTAAAGAAGCAGAATGGTTGCCATCAGACCATAACGCTGCTTTATAACTAGGGCCGTAAGTAACTTAGTTTTAATGTTTGCCATGTGGCTCTCTCCTTTCTTTTTATTTATTTGCTTTCCTCTAATTAAGTCTCATTTATTGGCTTACCATCAGCAGTGGCGTTGTACTTCCCACATCACTTCATTCATCTCATAAATGTCTGGGGTTTCTGCAGTATTTCACCCCTTTTCCACCTAGATTTTTTAAATTTCACAATTTAATGTCAATTTGCTCTTCACAAACCTGCTTCTAGCTGCTGGAGATATGTCTTCTAGATATGAAATTCTTTTTTTATGATGGGTTCTGGCAGCATCATAATTGTTATTAAGCACAGGCAGATGTCTCTATCCTAAGAGCACCGTTGCTTGAGACCAGCATGACAATAGAGGTTAACTGTGAGTTTCCAGTCAGAGATCCACTCATAGTACTGCAGTGTCAAGCAGTATGTCTTCAATCCACATTCACTGAACGCCTGTGCTGACTGCTAGCTTGGTCTTCATTTATCTCTTATATGTAAGTAGTGTACATAGAAGGCATCAGACAGAAGTCTGTCACCTAAAGGTTTCTAAAGCCTTCAAGCGCTGTAAGTTCCAACGTATCTTGAAAGTTAGAAACCGAGCAGATATGATTAAATTTATAGTTACACAAAAATGCCACAGTTTACTGAAGTCTGTGGGAGTGATAACATATACTATTTTTGGTGTGAACAAGATTGGAGTGCTGATTTATATAAATGGATATCAATTTTAAAATTAAAAAATCTGTAATTTATGGACAAATCTAATAGGAATGTATTAAAATGTATCTCTAAACAAAACTTTTTTTAGGTTTTTCGTGGTGTAGAAATGTTTAGATCTTTGCTTTAGATTTCATTGCTGTTTGTGTCCTCTCTGTGGAGATTCACTCCTCTATTTGAACTGGTCACCATTGTTACTGAGAAAGAAAGTGAGGGGAAATACAACATTTTCTGTCCCCAGAACAAGAGGTAAACGAAAATGTTCCAATGGAAGCACCTGTTTCAGGGAAACTGTCTAAAGGTGCCCATACACCTCACGACCATCGCAAGACTTTTGTCTTGCGATGGTCGTATGCTTATTGAAAGCTCGTACGATCTGCCCACCTTGGACGGGCAGATCGTACTTGCGATCATCGAAAGCCCGCCCCGCCGAGGGGCGGGCTTCCGATGACCGCAATGCAGAACGGGCAGTGTGCGGGCAGTGTGCATACGATTCTCGGCGGGTTTTCGAGCATGTTGGTTCGACAAAAGACGTGCAACCGTACAGTAGAAATGGTTGCACGTCTTCGTTCACACTGCTCGATTCTCGTACGATCGCGGGATTTCGCCTGATTCTCGTACGAGAATCGAGCAGTGTATGGGCACCTTAAGAGGGAAATTCTCCTCATTTTGGGATAATTCATCTAACTTCTTGTTGTATTTTTGGGCCAGAAAGTGAAGAAAAATGTCTATAAGAGTACACAGAAAACAAGCAAATAATGAAGTTATGATTCATTCCCTTCTCTGTCCAAAACTAAAAGAAGAGAAAACGCTAGACTACATATAATTTAATCCACAAATGGAGGGACAGTAGTTCATTGTGTAGACTTTATGTACATGACATTGGCACATTTTTAGAAATTAGTGAACTGAAATAGGCTGTAAACACTTGTCAGTGACAAGCCTCAAGACTTTCTTTTCTTGATTTACCATTTGTGGTGTTGTTTGGTACAGTGTTTGAGGCATTGTGCCTTATGCCTGTTTCTGTATATTTACCTGTGTTTGTAAATGTATAAATAATTCTAAAAAAAATAAGAAATTAGCCAACCAGTGGTCAAGCTTTGAATATGAAGCAAGGCTGCTCAGCTACTTCACTCTTGTAATTGTTTTTTTTTTTTGTACCATCCCTTTGGAAGGCTGGACAAATCCCAGTTCAAAGGTCACCATGGTGCTTAAAAAAAAGCTCCCAGGTGACCAGGTATTTGAGTATTTCAAAGGCAGTTTCATTGACTTCAGTTCCAACAACCACCACTAAACGGCACCTAGGAGAAAACAGTATTTCCTCATTGGCTGCTGTTCTGACAGCCGCTACCAGAATGCACCTGGTAGAAATGGTATTACCTCAATTAAACTTCTGTGTACACATATCAAACTGTGCACAAAAACTATAAAGAAAAATAGAGCTGTGTCCACAAAAGATTGTTTATTTGTACACAACTGTTCAAAATGAGTTAAAACCTCAAGACTACTTTGTGTTTCATATCCCAGGAAACTCACAAATATGTATTTTCACTACCTCCAATTTTGTAAATATGCAAGGGTCTCTATTGTTGTGTATTTGCATTAAATTCTGAAGGAAAGGGAGAATACTTATATATGAGTTTCCTGGAATATGGAACACAAAGTGGTCTTCGGATTCTGAGCGTCCTGTGTCCTGCCCTCAAGTGGTTAAACCAGCAGCCATGAGCTTGTTTTTTTTTTTGTTCAGTAGGTTAAAGGCCTTTCGAGTGTAGGGGTCACTATTGTGTGCGAAACAAATGGCAAACACACTGATCAATTCATAACTAGCTTTAAGCAAGGTGCACATGGAAGGGCTTTACAAAGTACAAAAACAAACATTTCCCAGCACACTCACCATCCAGACTGCAAACAAATACACTGTCTAACTACTAAGGTTGAAAGCAGAGGTTTAGTTGCACAACTTTTGCATTTGTGCAACTAAACACAACTGTGTAGTGTGGTCCTAACTCTAATCTATGACAGACTCCATCCTGGAGCATACATAGCAAAGGATGAATTGGGTGCAGGTTTGCCAGGAGGTAGCTTTACCTTCCTTAAAGGCACATGGACACACCACATGGACAAGTGAAACAAATGGCAAATGCACTCATCAATTCCAAACTAGCTTTAAGCAAGGTGCACGTAGAAGGGCTTTACAAAGTACAAAAACAAAACTTTCCCAGCACTCTAACCAGCCAGCCGGCAAAAAAATACACTGTCTAACTACTAGGGTTAAAAAATAGTTTTTTTGCAGGCTGGCTGGTGAGTATGCTGGGACATTTCCTGTGGTCAGCACTGTGTGTTTGAGATTATGGATCAATACTGTGTGTGGGATTGTCTAGCAAAAAAAACAAGATGTGTATGGTTCTGCTTTATGATGCGCACACACACACACTTTACTTTGTGTCTGTAAAGTTGTGTAAATATGTCAGTAAAATTAGATTTGGAAGTACCAAACGCTATGGCTGCAGTTTGCTAGCTCTTAAGTTTGTCAGCCAGGGACTGACTGGCAACTTTTAGCCCAGGGGGCAAGTACAACCCAGAGGCCCATGGTGCAGCAATTTGGCCCCCCTCCCGCTTTCTCTCTTTCCCACCTTCTCCCTGCCCCTGTCTGCCACTTTTGCCATCCATTTAACAGTAGTGTGAATGTATCTATCGGTTTAGGAAATGTAAAGCACACTGGTAGTGGAGGGATGCTTTGTCAGGGCTGTGCGTGTGCATGACTTCTGCGACCCTGGTAATTCTGCCACTAACTCAGAAATAAATTGTACAGCATTGCAGAATGGCATTGGCTGTAGAGAACTACAATTCCAAGCAATACATTACACAACAATGCAGAATACCATCAGCTATAGAGGACTATAAATCCCAGCAATAATGACTACCAACAGCTATAGAGAACTACAATTCCCAGCAATACCATTATACAGCAATGCAAAACAGCATCAGATATAGAGGACTACAAATCCCAGCAATAGTACATTATAGCTGGTGGTATTCTGCATTGCGCTGTATAATGTATTGCTGGGTTTTGTAGTCCTCTATAGCTGGTGGAATTCTGCATTGCACTGTATAATGCATTATTGCTGGGTTTTGTAGTCCTCTATTCAGCGCAATGCAGAATACCGCCAGCTATATAGGGATACAAAAAATCCCAGCAATACATTGAGTGTATAATGTATTGCTGGGCTTTGTAGTCCTCTATAGCTGATGGTATATTGTTCTGTATAATATACAGTACAGCGCAATGTACCATCAGCTATAGAGGACTACAAATCCCACTATCCCAGATAGAGCACCATGTGGGGGGAGTGCAGGCTTACCTGAGCAGTCTTCCAGCAACTTGCTTCTGAGATCGGGACTGTCTATCGGCGGCTGTCATCCCCTCACGGCTTATCCTCCTTACTTCTTCTTCTCCCCACGTCCCTGTGCGGATTGTGGATGTGGGGATGCGCGTGAGGCGGGGAGGAGGTGTGGAGCGTGGATGCCGGCGGGCAGGTCTGACAGTGGCAAGCGTGAGGCAGGGGTGAGGTGCGGCATGCGGTGTGTGTGGAGCTGTGAACAGGGCCAACTAATTGAAAGCTGATTAATCGATGATTGAAAATGTTGACAACTTTTTCAATCAACGATTATAATCGACTTAGTCGATTAGTTGTTGCAGCCCAACATTCATCCCCGATTTCCAGGGACAGTCCCCGGATTGAGGAGACCGTCCCCTGACAAATTATGTCCCCGGGGAACATAAAATAAACCAATGTTTTCCTTTTTAATACTCACCTGATCCCTG